GTTCTTCTTCTTCTCCTTCTTAGTCTCTGCTGGCAAAGCGCTGGTAGCTGCTTCCTTGCCCGTGCCACGAACAGCCGGTTTGAGCTTAACATCTTGATCAAACTCATCACGGTTGCGCTTTTGCTGGGCAAGCTCAATGGCCAGGTCTGCCTTCGCCCACAGCCATGCACAGGTGCGGCGGTGACTATCATGGGCGGACTCACGGGCCTTCTCAACGCGATGCTTCATTATTGGGCACTTCTCAAACTCATCCATGAGATGATTGAAAAGAGTTCTTTCCTTGGGGAGCTCATCAAGAGGTATCGCACGGAGAATATAGTTGTACTTCTCACGGAAAGCCTCTATGTCCGCTACTGATTGGCCGGCAAGTTTCAAACCTAGAAGATTGCGTTCTCCAAGGATGCCGATCCGATCACGCTCCAGTTGAAAGTGCTTGAAGATCGAACGCAACATCACGCGCCCATTGGGCATTGTACCTGCGGTGTTCCGTTCGTGCTCCACCATGTTTTGGAACAGCAACCCAAACTTGCCTTTGCGACACGTTTTCAACAGCTTGGCGGCTATCTCACGGGTTGTGCGTGGGAAACGTTTATCTGCCCTGAGTTGTTCCTCGGATGAGGTCAGGCAATCCTGAGCCCAGAGATAGAGCTCGTCACCGGTCGTCTTTTGCAAACGTCCAATGGCCATGAGGACTTGATTCACGTATCCACGCGCCTGTCCGGCGTTCTCTGGCGGAAGCGGAAGCACTAAATCCTTAAGGTCCTTTATGCGAACCACGGTTTCCTCATACGAGGCCGGATCTGATGCGCTTGTAGCAGCATCCCCACCACTTGCATCTGCTGCTTGAGTACCTTGTCCCTGACCCCCATTCATGGAAAGGGAGGGGCAGGCGGTATCATCATGCGGGCCACCACAGACACGGCATGAAGGGGTATGACCCTCGTCACCGGATTCTGAGGATGTGTCGGAGCTTGCCTCCGAAGGTGCGAGTGGGGAGGATGGGAATTGAGCCACTTGACTTGTACTTGCACTTGTTAGCCTAAGCGTGGGGACAGCAGTTGTGTGCTGGGCAGCTACGGAAGGTGGGGGTGCCTGAGCCGATGCGATCGGGGGCGAAGCCCCTGATACCCCTACCTGGGCCTCAACTAACTTTGAAAGTTGATGGACCAGCTCAGTTAAAGAGGACATTTGTGCCTGTACGTCTACAGGTCCCCTTACATCCTGAGTCCGAGCGACATCCGGTGGTCCTTGTGGTTGTGCACGTGGATCACCATCCTGGATTTGCACACGCTTGGCATCTGACTTGATGTCGGGCTGTGGGGGAGCGAAGGATTTTGGGAAACCAACAGGGGCACGTGGCGCTACCTTAGGGTTGCTACTTGAACTTCCCGATGCGCCTAGAGCTGCATCCTTCGGGGGACACTGCTCACGTGTGGCATCACTCGGCCCTTGAACTTGGGGAGCCTGTGATCCAACCTGAAGGTCACTTCCAACGTCATTTAGCCCCGATGACCCGGGATCCGTAGGATTTTGACTTTCATGACTTTCATCCGGAGGTACCGGAACATTTTGTGCCATGGATGCGACAGCCCTTTCTAGGTCAGCAAGGCGTTGCGACAACAAAAGGTTTTCAGTCCCTAATGTATCTATCACTTTGCTTTGCTGGAGGATCTTCTGTTCCCGTGAGGAAATTTCTTGAATAGCCGCCTGTCTCAACCTGGACACTTCGGCCTCTGCGGCCGACCTTGCTTGTTGGGCTTCATGCCTAGCACGTTCAACATGGCCTACGGCTTCCTGTCTTAACAGATGGACATGGCCTTCAGCTTCCTGCCTCACCTGTTGAACATGGCCTTGGGCTTCCTGTTGACAATGCTGTGCAGCTTGTTCAGCTAATGCTGTCTGAGCACGGGCTCGTTCGACTGCTTGCTGGGCTTGGTATGTCAGTTCCGTTGCCTGTTGTCTAAAGGTCTGCTCCCTTTGTTGCGCAACAGCGGCAACCTCCCCTAGCCTTTGGCGTGCCTCGTCCGCTGCTCATTGGCAGCCTGATCAGCAATGAGCGAAGCTTGATGCGCACGTTGCAATGCCGATCCGGCCACGAATGCAGCGGCACTCATGTCCCTAGATGGGTCGGGCGTAGGCACTTGCGGGCTATATACAAGGGGGGTTGCAGTAGAGTCTGAATCAGGTTCCTCTACAATGGGAGTCCTACGGGGAGGAGTCGCGTTTCGTTCGCGGCTACGAACATCTCTTGATGAGGATGCCCTGGAACCTACGGGAACTACGGACATTGCGGGTACCGAAATATCACCGAGTTCAGGGTCTTCCTCATTAGATTCTCCCCCAGGGGTTGACCTTGACCTATCATCCGAAGGTGGGGAAATCCCTGATGCCATGTCGGATGCACCTTTCACACGAGGCCAGGCTCACGTATGCTGACACACCGCGCTTCAAGCTGCGGCCCTTGAAACTTATAATACAACCGGTGTTGGAAACCGGTGCACTTGACCGGTGTTGGAAACCGGTGCCTTTGCTGCGCTTGAGCTGCAGCCTCCGGCAGTGCCAGGTCAGCGAAAAAGTCCGCGGCCGCCCCTTGCAGAGTGGGGGCGGTTACCAACTTCTTCAAGGTACTCTGTCTGGTCGAGTACTCTGGCAGGACGGAGGAGGCGTCGGTGTTGGTTGAGATACTCGTGGAGCTCGTCCAACGCCTCGTAGAGCGCCCGATTGGCGTCTCGCCGCTCGACACAAATGCCGAGTGCGCCTGCAATGCGGCACTCCCTCAGGGTGGCGTTGTTGTCGTCGATGACGACGCTCGCCCCCAGCTGCGCTAGAGCTGCAGCCTTGCCAGATGGACCAACCCGCTTCCAAGTGAGGACAACGTCTCCAAACGGAGGGGTGCCCAAACCGTCGATGGAGTCGTTGCAAACGCGGGTGAACTGGGTGGCAAGCCGAAGGGTGCTCTCCCGTGTTTCACGGGCTTGACAGTAACTCACGATACGAAATTGGATAGGAAAATGGTTTCGGTACAGCTTTGCTAGCGTCCGAAATAACCAATCCTTTGGCGCACCGTCGGGCTCGATGGCAATATCGAGCGTGTTATGCCAGTCAAGGCAGGCGATGATCGGCTCCCTGGCGTCAGGTTGAGGTACGCCGAAATCGGGTGTTCCGTCACCGGAGGGTGCTGCTGCACTTGGGGGCTGCTTGACCGGCAATTTGGGTGCCGGGGCAGCCTTGAACCTCACCTGTGGTGGTGGTGAGGGTGGCGCCCGCTTGTAGGCTTTGGGCGGCGTCTCAGGCCGTTTTACCCCGCTAATCGATCTTGGAACCGACGCTGCGCGTTGAGCTGCAGCCCTTGGCACTGGTGCTGGGGGTGCTGGTGGTGCTCTCAGCGGTGGTGGGGGTATGGCCTTTGACGCAGCGCGATCCGCAGCTGCCTGGTCAATTACGCTTTGTGGGGGCGCTTTGACCTTGGCTTCCCGCTTGGTAAAAACTATCCGAGCGGTCTTTGTTGCGGGTGCTGTGGATGAGTCGCGCCCGGCAGGTGCAGGCCTCTTGATGCTGACCTGCTCAGCCTCGTACACCCTGTCCGGGTTGAAGGCCGCCAAGCCTGAGTAAACCTCACGCGCGGACCTTTCGGGCGGCGGTGAGGCACTCAGGTCAAAATGTTCGGCCCTCCCGTGTCCTCTGGGAGGGTTGCTTGAGGACCCTGACCTCGGCGGATGATGCCAATACGAGTCTGGGAGGTCGTACGGCTCGTCGGAGGGTACCGGGTGTGGCGCCCGACGCGTGGGTCGTGAGCCTCCCTCGTATCGGTGCTGGAGGACCCAGATTCCCGTGCTGTCCACCCGAGTGGTCGGGTAGGCGCAGTTGGCCGGCGCCAAGATCAGCGGCCGGCTGTTCAGGGATGCACGGGCCGGAGGTGTTGGGGAGCTGTGGCTCCTGGTCCTCGACCTCGCTGCGCTTGGAGCTGCAGCCCTGAGGGGAGTTCTGGATCGTGGGCGTCGGGTTGACGCCTTCCGCACCGGTGGAGGAGAAGGCTGTCGCCTTGTCGGTGGCGTCCTCTTCCTCCTTGATGAGGACCTCCCTGCAGCAGTGTACCTTCTCCGGCCTGCTTTTACAGGCGGAAAGGATGACGGTCGGGACGGGCTCTCAGAGCTGGTCCTTGTGGGAACCGCTGCGCTTGGAGCTGCAGCCTGATCTCCCGGCCCTGCTGCTGCCTGTGTCGGAGCTGCGCTTGTAGCTGCAGCCTTGATTGTGGACACAGTTGTGGTGGAGGATGGACTTGATGGGGTGCTTGGTTGTTGCTGAGGCTGGGCTGGTACTGGAGCTGGAGGCTGCCCTGCCGCGCCTTGAGCTGCGGCCTGTGCCCGTTGTAGGATTGGGATCGGTTGGTGTCGGCCTCGGGCGATGACGGCGTCGTAGAGGTCGGGGTAGAGGTCTCGCAGATGCCGATAAGCGTTATCGGAAAAATCTGCTTGCCACGCCAGGAGGGAGCTCCGGTGCAAATCCGATGCCTCCTCCCAGGCGACCCTTGTCACCCCAACCTTGAACTCCCGCCAGGCCCACCGGGTGAGCTCGTCGAAGGCCTCGTAGTAGAGCTTGCGACGATGCGTCCACCCGCCCCTCTGACCACGGGCCGAGAAGGCCGGTGCCGGGTCCATGCACGAAGTGCGCTGACTACCGGACTGAGGGGGCCTAATCCCAAAAAGCAGTTACGGCTGATAACCACTCAACAGGGAAAGAAACACAGCGAACCAGAAACCGGGACCCTTATTAACCCCAGTCCGGTAGGCGAGCGCAAACCCTGGTTTTGATCTGATGGGCATCTTGAGCCAAATGGTCATTGCCATTCGACATGTCACTTGAAACACATGCAGTCAATGGGGCCTCTAACATCACATGCATGCACACCCTTCTGGGGTACCTCTTTGGGGGTCAAGGGGTCGTGATTATTCAACTAAATTTCCGGCTATTTGACACCGAGGTTGCTTAAGCCAAGCTTCAGCACCCGAAGCTCCAGCTCGGCGTCCACTTCACGCTTGTGGCGGCTCCCGGGCCTGGCAAAATAAAGCCAAGGAGTTGAATGTGAAAAGCAAACATCGAAGTCAAAAAGACGTTACTACACTCTCACACCCTCGGAAATTGCCCCTTTGCTTTGCCAGAAAGAGGTACCCCTGTAATTCTCTTCTTTGTGAAGGGCCTTGTCAGGGTACAAGCAAGTTTGGAGATAAAGGATGCTGGGGTCTACCGGCTGGCCAAATCCACAATGTAGTACGCAAGTCGAAACAGAGGACCGTGAAATACAGCAAACTGCACGGTAGTTCTAGCCATGCCCGCCCTCAATTGGAGACTGTTTTTGAGGCATGAACTGCTCAACTGCCCCGATTCTCTCGTTTGCAGCGAACACAAAACAACCAATGCAAACTTCAAGCAACACACATATGTTGACACCCGATTCATGAATATCCCGCAGAACCACCGAACGAATGCCTGGCTTGAAAGTCTGCCCTGCAGACTTTGACCAAGGTCTTCAGTGTCCCAGTGGTTGAATCTGGAAGAACAATGGCACCCAACTTTGGGCTTGACCTTCGCAGAAGCCACCCAACAAAACACAAACAAGCGCGCCCCTAAACGATAGCATCCTTTTGCTTTGCCTCATACGCGGACCAGGGAGCGTCTCAAAAGAAGGGACACCGCTTTCCGTTTTCCCTTTCGGTGACCTATGTTGAGACTGAGAAGCGCCCACCAGGCGCCGCCTGCGGCGGCGACCGGTGGCGCCGGCGCCCATTTCGTCCGCGCCGCACAGCAGCCGTGCCACACGCATCAGCGGGCGGTTGGGCGCCAAGTCGCCCTGGCGGCTCAACGGACATGGCCCCTGGTGGTTTGGCTAGAAGAAACATGAACTGTTTCCTTGTCAAATGGGCTGTAAATGAAGTCCAGGAACCCAGGGGGTGGCATGATGACCATTTGGGAGCCCCGGCCTTTAGAGGCAACACTTAAAAAGGGCAGACAGAAAGCTGGCACCGCTTGACATGCCCGTGGCTGCGGTTGGTGGAAAACCCATCCAGCCCGGGAGTCAAACATGACCCCCCCCACCGTGCAGTGCCATTTTTTTTCCGGAATCTAATTGGAAACGGGCCCACTGTTGTGCCCAGAATCTTGCCAAAGCCGACAAGTGTGCGCCAACAGTGTCAAGTGGTGCCACCAAAACAAAGTCATCAAACTAAGTCCAACTTGTTGAACAGCAGTGAAGACCAACAGGACACTTGCACGCGACCATCCAAACCACCAACCTCCCAAACATGTTATTTCTCTAGTCCAAGCATCACTTATACATGGTGGTCAACAGTTGCTTTACAAATTGTAACGGAATCCACCTGCGGCAATGGATTACGTCTGAAGGATCTCAGTCGGCGGGGGGCAAAAAGGCAAATCCCGCGTCGAGCCTTGACTTGGGTTACATGAGGTTACTCTCAAGCCACAGTCAATCCTTGTCAAAGTTGGACCGCTTTGGGTCTGTTATTTTAACTTGCAAGTTGTTTGGTGTTGGGGCTTGGTCTCACACACGCGCACACACACACACAGACAAAGAAAGGCTGCGTTGTCTGGCAGCAGTGCTACGGGCTTGTGAAACGCAGCATGTTCGCATCAAGGTTTTATTGGGCCCAAACTTCACAGTTGACCAAATGAAAGACTAAGAAGCAACCTCCCGCTGCGCCAAACCAATTCTTGACTTCGATCCTCAGCCGGCCGTGGGCCCCGTGAACTCCGCACGAGGCGGATAAACGCCACAGACCCCGTGCCACCAGGCCCTCCCGTCCGGCACGGTGAACAGCAGGGGCTCGTCATCCTCCCATCCCCAGCTCCGCAGCGCTGCCCTCTTCTCAGCATCGAAGTCCACGTCTCCACGGAAGACCTCCACCCCTGGCCACGTGATCACACTGGAAATTCCCGGAACCTTGGGGAGGTCAGCCCACTCGAGAAAAAAGAAAGAAAGAAGTCTGGCCAAGTCAACTATAAGTCGATCACCAAGAACCTGCAAATGCAAAGTCTGTCACCGCAATTGCAATGTGCGCGAGCACTTGGTTGGCTTCCCATTGTGGAATTGAAAGCCATGAGGCCTGGAGCAAATCAATCATCATATGAATCCAATGGTGTCGGTCTGAATTTATCCCGATCATTGCGTCTTTGGTGATTTGTGGTTTGCGGCGTTGTATGCTGTTGGTTGTGTGTGCGTGATACTTGTTTTTCCTTTCTGAACATGTGTCCTTTCATTGAAACAACTAGCAAGTGTTGCTCCAAGTGCCAGCCCATATCTTTGTTTCAGGTCTCGTCCTTTTTGGCTTGGCTTTCATCTTCCTCCACTTGGCGCTGGAGTCCTGAAATTCACGAGGATCAAACTGCCCAACAAAATAACATTTGAAAGCGCTTTAAACCATGCTGAAGGCTCGAGAGACTGAATTTCCATACCAATGCCATTCTGGCGCCAACCCTGGTTGACCACAACTCTGCAGTTGAAAACTTTCCCGAGACATCGATTTCCACCGCTGCCTCAAAACGGGCGCCTGCCCGGAGGACTGCTATGTGAGCACCCCCTATGGTACTGAAGAGTTTGACCATGAGCTGCTTCCAAAACTCGTAGGCCAGCAGTCTGTCAACACTTGTTCGCTTGATGTTAGACATGGACCACTTCAAGAAAGACATGACCATTGAGGTAGGAGTTGTGTTGACGTCAGCCCAGAGGTCAGGTTCCAGAGCCTCCTGCCTGGTAGACTGACTCTGAAAAATGCTTTGCCTGGAAAAGCCGAGCTTTGATTCTGCTGGAATCATGCCTGGCCAGAGTAGCCGGTGCTCGTCTTCAGCAGTTGCTCTTTTATCCTTAGTGGCTTGCTCTTGGCACAAGTGACTGCTTCAAACAAGTTTTCTCTGATGAATAGGGTGCATAAAAAAACAAAATGTGGCAACCTCCAACTAGCGGCGGTTGCATGAGTCCGAAGTTTCTTGTTGCTGTTAGTGCGGAAGATCTGTTGCATCACATCCCGGGTTGCCCAATGCACTTGAGAGGATGGCACCAGGAACACGGCCAGCGACTTGCCATTTCCAAGTCGGAGAACGCCTTAGTCAGTGCAGCAGGGGTTGGGAACAACTACCCTTAGGTGCAAATACCCCTTTGGGCGCAACGCAAACTTGTTATCTGCGGAACAAGTGCTTTTTGAGAACGAATCTTCTTGTTCCTCCTCCTCATCATTGTTGCCATGCCGACTCATGGCAGCACAGGTGATGGCTTCTCCAAGCTAGGAACTTTGGAGCTGCGCTGAACCAGAAACATATACTTGTCAAACATCGTGTTTTGAATTGACGACGCGTCTCCACTTTCAGCAGGTAGCCAAATGCCTGCAGAGGCCTCCCGTCAGAATCAAAAATGCGGAACCCTTGATGCAAGGGCTGATTTCTCAAACAACTCTTATTCGGCTCTATTTCCTTGGGGGGTCCCCTCCAGGGGGGGCTGGACAACAAACCCATGAAATTAGCATCCCGAGAATCTTCAAACTTGTATCCAGAATCTTTAAAGGGCTGCTCAGAATGTTTGTACGAATGCATGGGCGGCTAATGCTCAAATTTGGGAGTTGGCAGGTCTGCAAAACGAGCGAAAAAGTACTGTTCATACCAGGGAATCTCTGACTGCAGTGAAGCCTACATAGTTTTCTCTCAGCAAACCCGAGTCGTTGCTAACAGCTTCAGATTCAATATTATGTCTTTGTCACAACTGACGCTTCCGAATTCACTCGAAGCTTTTGCAAGGTACTGCAGCTCTGCACAAATGTGCAGGACATGAAATTCCCTATTGAATGCATGTCCGTGAATTGCCTCTGGCATATGTCTACACTATTGGCCTCAGAACGCTTTCAATTGTTTTACTTGATATTCCATACACCTAGAAATCCATTCTGTCTGTCTAGTTGTGTCCCCATGTAAGCTACCACACCCACGGACATGTGTCCAGAACCAAAAAAAGCAAGAAAGCCAACGAACAAACAAAGCAACAAAAGGGACAAGGAACAAAAACAAAAACAGCTGAACCCGAAGAAGGACAGAACCTGAGAAGGATCCGGCATGTTTTCTCAGACCTACCTTGTTTCTCTGGCTTTGCTGTTGGCTTTCGTCCTCCCGGGAGCTTCGGCCCCGTCTTTCAAACAAGACCCGCACGCTTGTTGTTTGGCGCCCGGAACCCAAGCCGGCTGCCACGATCAAGCCTGCCATCTCGTAGGCAGAGGTTTCCTCCAGAGGCGGGATCCCATACCTCGACATGTGCTTAAGCATACGTAGGAATAGTTGAGCGGCTGCTTCCTAGGAATGGCAAACCCCTGCTGAGGATCTGCTAGGGAAGCAAACGGAGCTGATCCCAAAAGGGAATTGAGTGGGCAAGAAGGGCTCCCTTTGCCAGCGAATTGATGAGGCCCTCCAAAATCAAACTCTAAACGATATTTTCCGGGCCTGAACTTGTTTTGGTTGGCTGGCTTTGGGCAAGGCTCAACGGACCGCAAAAAGCAAGCTGGCAAATGAGCCGTGCCAAATACTCTTGGTAAAAAACGGTCCTATAAACTTGCTTTCGCGGACCCTTTCGCGATGCTCTCGCGACCCCATGTTGTGCTTTCGCGGGCTTTGGTTTCTTTAGAATGGCTTTCGCGACGCTTTCGCGGCGGACCGTCACACAGCATGCAGGCTT